CAAGGGGCAACGAATACTACTACACCACCACCGCCACGACTACGACGACGACGACTACTACTACTACGACGACAACTCCTACTACAACACCACTACTACTACTACTACTACGACGACGACGACTACTACTACTATAATAGAAGTCGTAGTCGTAGTCGTAAGTGTCGCAGGACTAATGTAGCGACAATGTGTGGGGAGGGTGGGAGTACGGGCACGGGCGGGGGCGGTTGGGTGATGGTAGAATGGTGGTGGTGGGGACATGTCACGGGTGCGGCACCCCACTCCAAACCTCAAACTTTCCGCAACATAGGGAAATTTTGTTGGGGCGGGAAAGGATCGTTTCTGCTTCGTAAGTCTGTGTTACCTGCAGGGAAGGTGCCCAACACCAACGTCCCGAGTCAAAGTTTCAGGAACACACTGGGAAGTGAACCAAAAGGCAGCAGTGGTTTGCGGCTGCCAGCAGGAAACATGAAAATCGTGTAGATTTAACTTCTGGGAGTCGCATGTTCTACAGATTTCGACCGCTGCACCTTTTTCAGATAGCCGAGAACCCAAACGTCCGCCGCCTGCCAGGACATTAACAGCGGATGGACCGATTCGATTTTCCGGGTGATTCCGATCCCAGATCCGAGGATAAGCTGAAGCCGAAGGCCGGGATCATTGTCACTGGAATAAGCTTGAAATGGGGTTTGTTCTTCAAGGCGCTTCAGGATTTTCAGCAGCCTGCAGACGCCCGAGAGCCTGACCTCAAACTCTAAACCCTAAGCCCTAAAGCCTAAGCCGTGGCTAAAACTTAAACGCTGCCAGGTGCAGGTTTGGGTACGCCAGAATGTCAATGCCGCGCAGCTGGGATCAACTTCTGAAAAAAAAACAAACTGCGAGACCAGCCCTCCGTTGGCGCAGCCGGCCATCAAAAGATCAGGGAATGGGCTTGAATCCAGGGTGTGTATATATATATATGATATGAATAGTCACACAGACATAATGTATGTGTATATATATATATACGTATATGGATAGACAGATAGATAGATAGATAGTGTGCAAGTAGATATATATGCATACATATATATATATATACACATGAACATATGTATATATATATACACATGTATGTATGTATGTATGTATGTATGTATGTATGTATGTATGTATGTATGTAATATATGCATATACCTGTATAAGAATGTCAAGAACCATAATAAATCATACCGTATGCTTAACATAATACAATTTGTTGTGGGATTCTATGACGCGTATAAGATGTAATGATATAGTATCCAACCAGGCTTTTGTTAACATGTGTAATATACCTTATAATGTACGATCCACGATGATCTATGCCTAACTCAAAACATCAAATGCAGCATGAGACAGTACGGCACATCATTTCGTGGGAACTTGATAATTCTGCTAAAGAGTATTTAATTTGGAATGAACTTCACATATGTCGCTTGCATAGTATATCATAGCATAGCACAATAGAGTATTATAAAGTGTAATAGTTTAGTGTAGGAAATAATGTACTACACAGCATAGTACACAGTCCAGTATATAGCATATTATGTAGTAAACTACAGAGCATAGTATACGGCATCGTATATACTATAGCGTTTCCTCGAGCTCTTGGTATACAGGCTGAGTTGGGTGGGTCTGGGTGGTTCGAAGATGTACTGCGGTTTCACTCCGTGGGAAACTCACGTCTCGCATGGCCGCAGCCTTTAGAAACGAAGCAGGCGTAGAATCGCGCCAGGCCCCTCTTCACCTGTAGTTGCCAGGGATGAGGATTGAAGTTTGCCTCCGCGTCGCAGTGATCTGGGCCAGTTTGGCGGGCATCCCGACCTCCTTCAAGCTCTCTGAGGATGCCAATGAGACCGAAGTCTCCCAAGTGTCGTCGGGGGGCGGGCTTTACTCTTTTGGCACCACGGTGGCCCTCTACAACCCGCGTTACCAGCGCTTGGTGCAGATGCACCTCCTACGCAATTACTCTGCAGGGAATCCCGCCTTCCAGCCCTATCTAATCAGTAGTCCGATTTCTTTTGGGACGCGATCCTCCGAGGAACAAGGGCAGCAACTCGATGACTTCGAAGCATTCTGGCCGCAAACATCTGGAGATGTTTGAGACGTACGAGCGCTTCATCATCGTGGATGCAGGAGGCGGGAAGATTGGTCTGCACAACACCTTCAACAATCGCTTCTTGAAGATGAGCGGCGGAAGCTTGGTGACCAGCCCCATCAAGGCCCAGGGTGTGGTCGTCGGTTGGAGCTTTGTCTGAAGCACATCGAAGCCTTCTTACTATACCCTCTCCCTTTCCCAGGCCGCAAGCAATCTCCCGGTGCCTGGTTGGGACAGCGAGTATTTCGAGATCATCGATGGAGGAGATAGTGGTGTGTAGTGTGTGTGTGTGTGTCAAGTCAGGTCAAAGTATGAATACATCAGAAGGTCACCGTTGTAGGATTTACAAGTCCTCACACGCTGGAGGCTTTCTGGTGCTTTTCAGGAGATGGCGTGGTCGGTCTTTACAACAGGCACCATCAACGCTTCGTCTCCATGAACGGTCATGGAACCATGTATGGCAGTCCGCAGAGGGGCGACACTCTGCCCCACGATTGGTATGATCAGAGATTCTATCTCGTGCCTAGGTCCGTCTTATTGTAAGGCGTTCTGGCTTGGCTCTAAGCCTAATATGGGGGTCTTGATAACTACCTATGCATTTCTGGGGGTTCCGTATTCTAATTATACTTTTGTATTGCTTATAGTATACCGTATTATACCCCACAACCCTATTCTAATCAGTAAGGCCCCTAGATTAGACGCACCGTGCAGACTTGGGACCTTCCTCACCCTCAGGTGCCAGCGAGGCCCTATCTCGTGCCAGGTTCCGTCGTGGGTTTGCGCCGAAGCTCCAGTTTGAGACTGCTTTTGCTTTCGATGGGTTGGGTTTAGGGTTTAGGGTTTAGGGTTTAGGGGTTTAGGGTTTAGGGGTTTGGGGGTTTAGGGGTTTAGGGTTTAGGGTTCTGGGGGTGCCAGGTTTGCAGTTGACGGATACTACCATGCTTTCCATGAATCCCCGCAGAATCTGTGTTGAAGTCTTTGCGGTCTTTGAGCAAGGTACAGCGAGGGAAATCAGAACTACCTGCGCTTGAAAGAGCGCTTGAAAGAGCACGGCATGGACGGCCACCGGCCGCACCACCCCCCGCATTTTGTTCCGGGCTGGGCCTGGGAGAAATTCAAAGTCGTCGATGCCGGCGCCGGTCGGGTGGGGCTGTACGGCCTTCATTGGAGGAAGTTCATCAAAATGGATGCTTCTTGAGCTCTGGAAGGTTTTCTTGTGCATTCGGCCAAGAGCCCCTGCTCCTTTAAAGGAATGAAGCTCAGCGAGGCCCAACCAGTGTAGTCAATCTCTAAGGTCCCAAACCATGGACTCGAAAGTCTTTAAGTTCTAAAACCCTAAACAAGCTCTACGTAAAGCCCTAGAAATCTCGGTCCTGACGGCCTTTTGCGAGCTTCTGAGGACCATCACAGCGTCACGGTTAGCCCTTGGGCTGATCCTCGACTATTTCATGCCGCCTTTTCTCCCTCTTAGAAGAGGGGGTTTGGGGGGCTTAGGGCTTGACCGTAAGCCCTAGACTCCCCTAAACCCTAAACCCTAAACCCCAAGCCTAGGATTTAGGGTTTGGGGTCTAGGGTTGTGCAGGTGGAGTTTCGGGGTTTCTGGGTTCGAAGGGCCCAGGCGCTTCAAGCATTTACGGTTGGGGGCTTCCCCCGACGTCCCGCAATACCCACACTGAGCTGCGATCTATTGCTTTTGAAGTTTTCTTCTCTGGGGCCTATTCTGGGCGGGATTGTGTGAGCAACCTAGGAGTTTGAGAAGACATACCCCGAAGGTCTTACGCCATCAGAAGTATATAAGCTTCTTTCGGCCCCTAGGCAGGGTCCCCAAACCCTAAACCCTAAACCCTAAACCCTAAACCCTAAACCGCCAAACCCTAAACCCTAAACCCTTTGTCCTTGGCCACCCTCACCCAGGCTGGCGATCACTTCCCCCATGGTTGGGGCTCGGAGGCTTTCGTTGTTATCCCTATTTTGCCGAACGAGAACAAGATAATGCTCTGGCATCCGGGATTTGAGCGCTTCTTGGAAGCCTCAAGGGGGTTTAGGGAGTAGGGTTTAGGGTTTAGGGTTTAGGGCAGACCTTTCCGGTTGGACTGGAAGTAGCCGCAGTGCCACCTGTTCGTGACCCTAAAGCTCTAACCTTTGAACCATGAGGCTGTGTGAAGATGTCGGGGACCAGCGTTCAGCGCAGCCCACATAAACAAGCCCAGGACCAGTTCCTTGCTTTTGTCAGCTAAAAATTCACTAAGATAAAATAAGTTTAGAATGTTATATTACATTCTCGTAGTTTATAGTATAGTAGAGTCTAGTCTATTCTATTAAACCGTTCAGGCACCCCCTCAACTCCCTTCCCTTCCTTCACTCCCATCCTGTCGCCCTTACCAAGAACGGGGGAAGCACCAGCAGCAGCACCGCCGCCAGCTGGCCGCCGGAAGCGCACAAGCCCCAGCACCAGCACCGGCACCACCACCACCACCACCACCACCACCACAACCCACCACCACCACCACCACCACCACCACCACCACAACCCACCACCACCACCACAACCCACCAC